CAATTTTAAATCTTTAAAATAAGTATATCTATCTCTCCTTGTATAATTATTGTCCAAATTGGTGGTGAAGTAGATAAAGAGCCCTGGCATATTTAACACATTCAACATCAAATGTTAGTTATTATTTTTGCTGGTCTGTGTTCACTGTATTCAGTCTTTTGCAGGAAGAAGTTCAAAGAGGAGACATAATGAAGAATTAAGTAATAAATAGAAGGCTGATAAGAGTAGTCCAAAAATAGGTGGGGAAGAAGTTCAAAGTGGGGACATAATGAAGAATTAAGTAATAAATAGAAGGTTGGATAAGAGTAATCCAAAAATAGGTGTCTATTCCAGAACTTGCTTCCTAATAAAGCAGCGTCTCAAGCCATCTTCCCTGAACCTTGATTGAACTGCACTTCTAATTTGCAAAGAGGTGGCCTAAACGACTCCATTTAAGCTACAAAACATGCCCCTTGAGAAAATTTGTAACCCTAGAGAGAGCTCTTACTAAAGATGAACATAGCAAACATGTCCGCAAACTTCAGGGGTAGTAAGGACGAGTCCTCCTGTGGGAAAGTAGGCAGTTTCTCACGACCGGGGTGGAAACACCATATGAAAGAAAAACTAGAGCCTTTTGTGATAATGAAAGTCTTATTTGTAAGAAAGTCTCCAAGTTCATTACTCCAAATCTTCGTTTAATATCAAAAATATCTGGGAGCTCCTGAAGGCTTTTGAGAAAGGCAACAGTAACATAATCAAAAGGCTGCTAGAAAATGAGCCTTATTTCTTGGAAGAGAACAGATGACAAAGACGGTAGGTGACAAAATTTGTTCACTTGACGTACTGCTAAAGGTGTTCATTGGTAGCTTAATATGTTTCAAATTGTTGTAGAAAGAATGTCTTCTAATAGGAGAAGAAATCCGGAGGTTTCATGGATAAGTCGGCTAGAGAAACAGACTTTGAAGAGATGTAATGCCAATTGAGTGCATTATGATCATTTGTGTGCACAAACACAGCACCTCCTAAATGCATGATATTTCAGAGACAAAATATTTAAAGTGCATTGTATTTTAAGCATTTTAGGCCCTTATCTGGTATTTGGGACTGTGTCACTGATTTTTCAAGTGATCTTTGGCAAACCACATAACTTTTTTTTTATTCTAAACTTTCCGCAGATATTTCAAAAACCAAGTTTTGAAATCAGCAGCATGCACCATCTGTCTTTAAACCTTAGGAGTCTTGCTGTGCTCTAGAACGGTCTCTCTTGATTCATTCTGATTCACGGTACAATTCAATGTTGTCTCTCTAGAGCCTTGGGGAACTGAGGACTTTTGGAGAATTTTGTGTCTCAGATAGTTGTGTGAACATCTCTTTGAGAAAAAACAATTTTAAAAAGACATATCTATTTTATATAAACACACAAACTGCACTAAATTCTTCCCTGCCCTCTTAAGCCAAGTGTGCTGAATATGATTTAAGGCTTTTGTTGATGACTTGGTATCAGGATAAACATCCCTTATCTACCATGGTGAGCTGTAACTCACTGACCTGTGACACACCTTCCAAAGGAGCTAATGCAGGGAAAGCCCACATCCACGTACAAAATTCAGGAGGAGGTCGGCAGTGAGAGGCTGTTGGCTTTCTAAAGCGTTATTTCACCCCTGAACCCTGGTACACCACACTGCACGCCTCACTGTGGAAAGGATGTGATTAGAGAAGAGGATTCTGGCAGACCAGGGCAGCTGAGGGGGGAAAATGGTCTTAAAATAAGATCCAGTCCAGAAAATGACTGAAATAATTAAAGAGGCTTCACATACAAAAAGAAAACTTAGAGAAAATGAATATTTAAATGTTGGTAGCGTTGTCTTGTGAAGATGCCTTAGATACAAACCTGTAAATACCTAGAGCAGAGAAACAGGACCAGTGGGTAAAATCATATAGGGAAGCAGATTTGGGTTCAATATAAACAGAACTCATCTTTGTAACTTACTTTGGTTCACAGTTTATGTGCAAGACCCTCCTCGGTGTCAAAGGCAATAAAAAGATGAGCAGAACAAAGTACAGGCATCCCCAAATAGACTCTCACCCAGAGCAGCTGGAATCCGGAGTCCGTGAGGGGGAGGAAAGGAGCTGGAATAGGAGCTAGAACTAGACACTGGGGCACCTGAAGGGCTAAGTCAAGGATACTGGGTTGTTTTAAACAGGCAATTGGGAATGATAAAGCATTTTTTTTGAAATTTTAAAACTGATTTTAATTAGAAAAATAATAATAATAATAAAACAGGTTATAAAAATTCAAAGATATCAAAATTCATTATATACAAAGTGAAAGTTCACCACCAACCCCAGTTCCCAGAGGTATCCATGAGCAGTTTAGCTTTATCGTAACTCTTTTGTGGCTTCAGTTCCTTATGTATAATAGATAATAATGTGCATTATGTGTAGAGGTGTTATGAGGATTTAAAAAAAAAAAACGTTTGCCAGTTACTTGGAGGCGAGAATTGTGTCTAATTCTAGGTTTCTTAGCTCCACACTATTGAGTTTTTAGGCTGAATAATTCTTTGCTGTGGGAGCTGTGCAAGACACCGTAGGAAGTGCAGCAGCATCCCTCACACCTACCCCCAGACACCAGCAGCACCCCCCCCAACACACATCCCAGTGACAACAGAAATGTTTCCATGCATGGCCAAATGTCCTGTGACATTTGGAGCAAAGGAGATGGGGCTGACTGCAGTTTAAGTCTGAAAGCCACCTGCTGCAGAATTCTCTCTTGTTTCAGGTAGGTCAGGGTTGTTGTTGTTGTTTTTGCTTATGCAGGCCTTCAACTGATTAGACGAGGCCCACCTGTACTGCAGAGCCTCGTCTGCACAGTCTGTTTTACTCAAAGTTCACTCACTCAAATGTTGACTCTTTCTGACATCCTGACAGAAACATCCAGATTAATGTATGACCACATGTCTGAGCACCATGACCCTGCCAACTTGACTCATAAAATTAATCACGTACAGCCGACTCCTTGTCAACTTTATAGAATCACATCACGGGCAGCACATAAGCAGAGCCTGTCCGGCTGTCTTAGAGGAAAACTGTAGAGGTGTTGACTGGGAGACTGGGCTGGATGACCTCTATATTCATTTGGGGACCTGAGTCTGACCTGTGGCACTGTCTCCCGGGAAGAGTGATGCATGCCTTTCTCCTTCCCCCTAATCACAGCTGTAGACTAGTGTATTCTTGTGGTTTATGTAGCGACTATTTAGAAGTCGTCTGTCTTCTCCAGGCTGTCTGGCAGTCAACTGCCACTTGGTGTTATTGCTGTGTCTGCCTCAAGCAGCTAATAATGGCTGTGAAAACCATTTCATAATTGTAATGCCAAGGAAATGTATAGCTCTGGACTCCTGTGGGCTAAATAAAGCCAGATAACCCTGCTTATTATAGTCATGTCTAAAATTAAAGTAAATAAATAATGAGTGAGAACCTGAGTAGTTTTTTTCATGGTTGAAAAGTACTGAATGACTTCATTCATGAGTCTTGTAGCTGTCTACTTCTATGCATGGAAACTTGGGGTTTACTCTACTGTTCCATCTGGGTTCCAGAGACAGAAGATGGCTGGGTGCTGGGGGTTGGCACTGGTGTGGTGTTGTCCTGAGTTGCCTGTCATTCCTGCCCAAATTCTCTGTGGCACAAGGAGCCAAATATATAAATCAATACCATAAATAGGCACACAAATAATAACTCTCCAGTCTTAATTCTCTACTAACATACATAGCCTTTCTGCCTTGCCGCTTAGCAATAGGTTCCTTTATTTTCAAAACGAGATTCATGTTCACGAAATAAGGTTACAAATGCAGGCAAGGGAAGAAATCCACTGTTTACAAACGTACCATTCTTTCTTGTTACCCACCACTTTTTAGAACATAGGTATTAAAATACACAATGATTAGGAGCTAAGCATATTCCACAATCTGTCATCATTCTCTCACTTCAGGAGGCCCATAATTAACCTTCCCATTAATTCCATATCTTTTAGATCTTCCTAAATCAACACCTACTCTAAATTACTACTCAAATGAATGCCTAGTTTTACATCTGAGTTCTCTCTGTCCTAGTCTGAAAAGCCTGTGAGCCTCTGTCCAGTCCCCGTGTCTGCCTCACTCAAGAATCTGGCTCAAAGCCTGGACCTCCCCAGATCCAACCGCTGGCAAGAAAATTCTCTATCAAACAGCTCTCTCACGTGTCTGTGTATTAAAAATAGCTAATATGACCCCCCCACTGCTCTCACTCACTCACACTGTTACCAGCTAGATCATGAGACCTCGGTTCTTGTTTTCTTCAAGGAAAGATTTTGGTCAAGAGACAAAGTGCAGTAAAGCATGCAAGAATTCTCTGGCCACAGCGAAGGCGCACTCAGATGGGACGTTTATTAACGTTCCCAGTGACACAGGGAAGGGCTTAGCATAGAAGGAGCAACAGGAGAGGGGCTAGGGAGGGAAATGAGCCTGGGCCTGGGCTGCTTTGGCTCACTAACAAGTCAGAGAAAAGGGGTCCCTGGGCCTTCTCCCCCAGCATAGACGTTAGGTAGAAAATAGAAGGGGGGGGGGGCAAGAATAGCATGGGAAATATAGAATCCAAAGGACTTGAGACACATGGTCATAAACTAAAGGGGGGTAACGGTGGGGATGGGGGGGTAGGGTGGAGGGGAATGAAGGGGGGAATAGAACAACTGTAACAGCATAATCAATAAAAAAATTAAAAGAAAAAAAAAAAAAAGAGGTCCCTGGGGACAGGGTCGGGAGGTTAGCTGGTGGCGAGCTGCCACTGCCCACTGCTCCCTTCATTGCAAGTCAGGTCTCGTGAGGTCCCTTAGACTGAGAGATGTGTACCTGAGGAGGAAGAAAATGGCATGGGAGTGCTGGGATGGGGGGCGTGTTCTGGGTCCTTTGTCCTGATGGTTTTATCCCTGTCTTGCAGGCAGCAGGAATCTTAGGGGAGGTCTCAGGGGAAGGTATAAATAGAATACTCACCAGCTTTTCAGCTGTGCTCCTCCAGGGGCAGTGTCTCCACTCATCGGCACCACGGCAGGGTCAGTAGTCAGTGCACCTGGTCCTGGCATCACCCACCCGGTTTTGCTGCTTTTCTGGGCCCAGAGCTGAAATACAACTGAGGCCTAGACGTTATCTCTAGGGAGGAAATGGTAGGGGCTCTCAACCTCATGACCAGTTGTATGCTAGGGGAGAGAAGGTCACCCTGGGGCGAAGTCCTTGTTTTCCCAGTTTTGTTCATTGCTAGGCACCAGGGGCTTCCCTCCCTGGTGGCTTTCTGTACCTCACCTATTGTCCTTGCCTGCCCTGCTCATGTCTGTCTAAGTGCCTATTACAAAACTGAAGGCCAGCTCTTGTGCCCAGGGAAGGGAAAGAGGAGGAGTGCAGTATAGGAAGAAGGAGAGGCCAATATTCAGAAGTAGGTCTCTGCGGGGTCAGGGGAAGAGGGTCTAAATGGTAATGGTAAAAAAAATACAATTAAAAAAATTTATTCAAGAAATGGGTCCCCAAATTTCATATTGATGTTGAATTTGTCCCTGGCATTTTCATCAGTGATTTTTATGTGGAATTACTCTTTTTTTAACTGATCTTCCTGGGGAGCACATTTTCTTAAGTGTCTGGTATGGCTAATGTGGCACCATCACGTTTATTTATGGGTCACCCTGCTTAGACTATTATCATAACAATGACCTTAATCCCCAAAATGGCTTCAGCCAAACTGTCTTCTGCCTTAGCAGTCTGAGATGAACCTTTTAGTTCCTTCATTCAAGAATCACTGTGGAATGAATACCTTCTGTGCTGAGCAGGGCTGCCACGTTCCCCAACTCCACTGTGTTCTCTGGATGGAGCTGGAAGAGGGCGGAGGATATCCTGGACGTTGTATATTTACCAAAGGAGATTAGAAAATCAACATGAGTACAAAAGAAGCAGAGATTTGATAACAGCTAGGAACTAGACAATAAAAATGTGGGCCTCAAATGTACTTCCTGAATTCTAAAATGTTGATTACTCTTATCAACCAAGGGAACAAAGTCCAGCCCCATCCTCAACATAGCTGACAAAATGACCTTCCTAAAGGACAAAAGGTCAAGTTTAGTTGTCAGGACCGTTCTGTCTTTTTTTCTGTTTTCTTTTTAAATCAAGTAATAACAACAGAAAAGGTGCTTGTCTTTTAGACAACCAAACTGGGACGGTCATAAAGTGTAATTGTGAGAGGTTTATTTATTATTGTTCGTAAAAAGGTTCTTTCAATCAGAAAAGTTTTTCCTAGCAGTAACTGACCTTTGTCATAATCCTTTCTCACCCCTGTCAAACATTTCTAAGACTTGACATAAGTACTTAATGTTGTTGGATCCAAAACACCATGTGACTCAGGTAGAAATAATTCTTCAAGCAAAGGAATTTATATGACTGTGCCTTTTACCATCCATTAAGCGGCTTTTTATGTTGGGCCGACTTGTAATGTGTATTCATGTCACCTTGTAAGAGGAAACTGCATTCAGCATTTTCACGAGTTTATGAAAGAAATCTCTATTTCAAATAACCTTCCTTCAATCCCCAGTCTGTAGTGAGTGCTAGAAGAAGGTAATACAAAAATGAACAAGACATTCTCTGTGTTCTCTATAGGCATACACTCCGGGGCCTGAGACCCACTGTCTACTCAGAAGCAAACTAATAAGGGCTATCACACAGGATTAAATGGAAAGCATGGAGCACATGGAAAGATTAATTCTAACTGGGGGGTTTGCAAACGTGTATAGTGGTCACATGGAGATGTCCGAGGAACCAGGGAGACAAGGAGATTAAGGAAAGACTTTAAATATTTAAGAATGGAAGTCTGGCCCAGGAATTCAGGCTTAAGAGACTTGGAAGTAATATGCTCAGAGTTGTGTTTCCTTAGCTTGGTATTATGCATTCCTCCTCTTTTGTACAGGGTACAGTCTGAAATGTATCAGCTCGGGTGTACAAAAACCTGCCCCAGCCTACCTTCCTGCTGACCCTGTTGCCAACTGCATTCCTGTCTGAGTAATCCACTCCCACGAAGCAGACTTTCGCTCTGATTTCCCAGCAGGTCTTGAACTCTATCACCTCTGATGTTTTCCTGAAACTGTACCTTGTGCCTGGAATCCTTCCCCATTCTCCTCCAGCTATCAATGTATACACTCAGCATTTATTTAAATTATATATGTGTACATTAATTACTCTTTTTTTAAACTGAGGACTAATATATATTAAGTAGTGTGTGACCTACAAAGTTATGGCAGACCAGGTCACTACTAATGAGGGAGTTCACAGCCTATCCAAATCCTGTCTATCCCTGCAGAGAACTCCCCCAGACCAGCCTGGCTCAGGAAATTGTATGGAATGCTCAGGAATGTCAGTAACAAATATAGAAATGGCCTAAGCTGTTTCCTACGGGTTTCTTTTTTTAAAATGTGATTTGAAATAGTTATTTTAATTATATTTATTAATTATGATATCACAGTTGTCCCAACTTTTTCCCCTCTGCCCCCTTCTACCCAGCAATCCCCACTCTCTCAGACAATCCCCACACTATTATTCATGTCCATGAATAATATTCATGAATATTGGACATGTCCATGACCAATCTTATATGCATGGGTCATGCGTATAAGATTTTTGGCCACTCCATTTTCTATATCGTATTTTACATCCCCATGGCTGTTCTGTGACTACCTATTTGTACTGCTTAATCCCCTCACCTCTTCACCCATTTCCCCACACCCCTGTCTACCTGGCAACCATCAAAATGCTCTTTGTATCCATGACTCTGTCTCTCCTTGTTTGCTTAGTTTTTTAGATTCGATTGTTGATAGATATGTATTCATTGCCATTTTATTATTCCTAGTTTTAATCTTTTTTCTTAAATAAGTCCCTTTAGCATTTCATATAATAATAGTTTGATAATGATGAACTCCTTTAGTTTTTTCTTGTCTGGGAAACTCTTTATCTGCTCTTTGATTCTAAATGATAACTTTGCTGGGCAGAGCAACCTTGGCTGTAGATCCCTGCTTTTCATGACTTTGAATATTTCTTGCCAATCCCTTCTTGCCTGCAAAGTTTCTTTTGAGAAAGCAGCTGACAGTCTTGTGGGAACTCCCCTGTACATAATTAACTTCTTTTCTCTTGCTGCTTTTAAGATTCTCTGTTTATTTTTAACCTTTGGCATTTTAATTATGATATATCTTGGAGTGGGCCTCTTTGTGTCCATGGTTTTTGAGACTCTGCTTCCCATATTTGCATGTTTATTTCTTTCACCAAATAAGGAAGTTTCCTTTCATTTTTTTCAAACAGATTTCCAATTTCTTGCTCTTTCTCTTCTCCTTCTGGCAGCCCTATAATGCAAATGTTGGAATACTTGAAATTGTCCCATAGGCTGCTTACACTATCCTCACTTTTTTTGGATTATTTTTTCTTCTTGCTGTTCTGATTGGTTGTTTTTTGGCTTTCTTATATTCCAAATCACTGATTTGATCCTCAGCTTCATGCACACTATTGTTGATTCCCTGTAAATTGTTCTTCATTTCAGTCAGTGCATGCTCCATTTCTAACTAAATCCTTTTTATGCTTTGAGGTTCCCACTACGTTCAATGAGCATCCCTGTGCACAGCGTTTGAACTTCGAATTGAGTACATTGCTTTTCTCTATTTTGTTTGGTTCTTTTTCTAGAGTCTTGTTCTTACATTTGGGCCATGTTTCTTTGTCTCCTCATTTTGGTAGCCTCCCTGTGTTCGTTTATATGTTTTAGGTAGAGCTGCTATGCCTCCTAGGCTTGATAGAGGGCCTATTAGAGTAGGCGTCCTGTAGGGTCCAGTGGAACAGCCTCCCTTGTTACCCAAGCTGAATACTTAAGGTATGCGCATGATGTGGGCTGTGTATGCACTCCTGTTGTAGTTGAGCTTTAATTGCTGTTGGCATATCTAAGGGCAGCCACTGTCTGTGTTCTGTCCAGGGTCACACAACATAAGCTACAAAGCAATCTAACATGGCTGCTGGGCTCGGAGGAACTCAGGCAAGGCCGAGCTGTGAACCAAGGCCTGCTGCTAGGACTGGGCAACTTAGTGAGAGGTACAAGGTTCACTGAAGCCAGATGCTGCTTGTTTCAGAGAATTTTTAAAAATCTGAAACATGGGCCAAGACAAGCCATTTGAATAAAAAAAAAAAGCCACTGGAAACAGCTTGGGTGGCCCCAAATGTTGGGTACAGCAAGGCCTGAAGAAATCACCAGCATGGGGCAAATGGTGTGAGCCAGACTGATGTAGTTTCAGATATAGTGCCTGCCTGCTAGCTCTGTGGATCTGTGCGGGGATGGCTGAGAAAAGGAACAATGGTCTCTGCCAGCACTTCTATGTGGGAGAAAACTGACCCCAGGCTTTTGCCCTGGAGCTGGACAATTCAGCTCCTCCCTGTATGTCTCTGATGCTTTTCAATCTGCTGCCTTCGTGCTGGAGCTCAAAGAGAGTAAGTCTGAGTGAGTCTGTGCATGTGCCCTTTAAGAGGAACTGACTGGGGTTCCAGAAGTTTCTGTTTTCAACAGCCTCAGTCCCTGCTGGTTTTTATAGCGAGAAATTATGACGAATTATCTTCCTGTCACCGAAACCATGGACTGGGGGTCTTACTATAGGGCTGGGACCCCTCACTCCTGAGATATCCCTCCCAATTTTTATCCACCACAGGTGGGTGTGAGACCAGCCTGTTCCAAGTTTCTGCCCCTCCTACCAGTCCTGATGTGGTTTTTCCTTTAATTTGGTAGTTGTAGGTCTTCCATTCAGCTCAATTTCTAATGCCTCTGAATAATGCTTGTTCTATAGTTTAGTTGTAATTTTGACCAGGCCACTTTTCTTATCTGCTAGAATCTGAGTGAGTTTTCTCAGCCTCTCAGTTTGTTTTCCTGAGTTTACACAATAATAAAATACACACAATGACCCTCTTACTCTTCTTTTACCAGCTGATTATTTAATACTGATCAGCTTTGAAACGCATATAGCCCTATCAAATAGCCAGGGACTTGCCTTCACCTGAAATAAGGCTGTATTAGAGTGAAAGTTAAAACCATTTTGTGAAAAGACAATGCAATCCATGCAAAAGTCCCTAGGAGATACTCAATTTTTTCAGGATTAAATTTCAGGATATGAAATTCATTGTACTAACAGCTTATCTTTTCTCCTAAATTCCTTAACATTTTAGTGATCATTAGCTGAACTTTCAGAGCAAACATAAAACTTCCAGCATTTGTATTCATATCAAAATATGGCAAATACCAGTCCATGAAAAAAATCTCTACTGGAGAACCTTATCTAGCCTATTACAACAGGATCACTGTTTGTCTGTCTTAAACTGAGAATAACAACTTTAAAGCTGTAAAATACTTTTGAGATTACCTAATTCACTTGCTTCGGTTTACAGATAAGCACTGAGACCTGACACGTCTTTACTAGGTCAGTATTTGGGCAAGAGGAAATAGGGTTGTGCCGCTGAATGGTAAATTCCTGGTGGGGTAGAAACTGAGCTGACATTGGCAGGCAGGTGTGCAGCCCCCTGGAGTCCCTGGGCAATGCTTGAAAGACAGAGTGAGAGGCTGAGCAGACCCTCAAACAGGATATGAAGACTAGGACTCATTTCTCCGAGCAGCAGAAGATGGGGCTGCTGTCAGGCACCCTGCCCCAGGCAATGCACACCAAGGACTCACATCCTTCCTGGCCCCCAGAGAACCAGGTGCTCTGGTCAGACTGAGCTCTGGTCAGACTGAGCATTCCTTTGTGATTCGGATGCAGATGTGGACAAAAAGTGGCCACATGCTAAACCTAACAAGCTCCGCGGAGGCCTGCATGGCAGACTCGGAGACCTAAAATAACCACACAGGATGGTCTGAAATTAAAACTTTTTAACTAAAAGCAGGTCATGGCAGGTAGTCATGTTCTAGGCTAGAACTGTCCCTGACAAAAGTCTGTCTTTACCTCAACTGAGTCTGTATGTTATCTCTGTGCATGGACGATCATTTACCTTTGGGAGTCAATTTTTCTTCCTCGACCTCTTAAAGCATAAGCACCACACCAGAGCAGAGACCGGAAATCCCCTCACTGGCATTGCTATCATGCTGACTGCTGACTGTTAACTATCCCTACCCACCTGCGTAAAAGAAGTACCAGTCTATCATTCTACTTTTTATCCAGCCTCAGAAGGTTCCCCACTTTGCTTCCTCTTGCCTCCCTAATCTATCACCAATGGATTTCATGTAACCCCCTGAAGTCTTCTGTTTTGATTGTAATCTATAAAATAAGATTCAAAACTACCATTTTTCTGGAGGGTTTTCTCAATCTGTTCAGATTTTGCTTCCTGACACAGTTGTCATCGGTGTGGCTCAAATAAACTCGCAGAAATTCTTACGGGTTAGGATGCTTCTTACTTGGACCCAGAAAGGCCATATTAAAATCTCAGTGTGTTACCAGTTCAAAAGTTCACGCGCTCAAACCTTCAAAAGGCCAATACTCAAGACCTCAGAGTTTGGAGCTAGGAAAGCTTTATTGATCAAGAAGGCATCACTTTGAGAAAATAGGGGCCCTGGACATTCTTCAAATACATGTTAAGAGAACCTAGAATTCAGGCTTCTTTATGTCAAGGGATGGGAGAGTGGGCAGGACAAGAAGTGACTGACTACCACAGACATCGGGGTGCCAGCAGGGATCCGGGGAAGAACACAAAATCTCTAAATCTCTTTGTCCCTGGTCAGTCTGTTGACTCCTGCTGGTCTGAGTCTGGTCTTGGATCTCCTGCAAATCTTTTATAAATAACTATTATTCCATACATGTTTCCCAACACCCTTGAGAGGGGCACCCCCTACAAGGGGCTGTTCTTCCAAAAACTGAGGCCTGGAGCAGAATTCCCCTAATGATTAGCATAAGTCTAGCAGGGGCTGCTTGCTGAAAGTCCATGCGAAAAAAATGCAGGCTAGAACTAAGAGAGAGTCTGAGAGAACGAGCATTTGACCTTGTTACACAATCAGGGCGGTTTGGAAATGACACAGACCTGGGGCAGAAATAAAATGCCTGCCACAAGTTATGGAAGTACCACCCTGTGCCCATCTCCTTAAAAAAACATCTGCTATTACAGGTATCTCTGCCTGGTGGTTGGCCGGGGTTAGGTTGATGGGTGTGCAGCCAGAAAGGGAGTTTACAGAAAGTAACTTCACAGGGTGATCTGAACATACATTTCTAGCTGGGCCAGCCATGGTGGAGAGTCAGGACCCAGGCACCTAACTTTTTTAGTAAAAAAATTCTTTTTGCCTTCAGCTGGCCCTGTGCACTGTTTTTGTGCATCAAGGTTAACACACCTTTGCAATGACTCTTTTTCTGGTCCCCTGAAAGCTTAACCCACCTCAGCACCACACAGAGTCTTGTTAACTATCCCGGAATCCAGCCCCCATCGTGCTTTCTACCAGTTTCACGTCCTGCTCCTTACTGTCCCTCCTTAATTCCAAACGCTTAAAAAAGAGCTGCAACTGTTTAGTTCTCCAGAGCATTTGACATCTAACTTCCTGGTAACCGTCATCAGTTTGGCTCAAATAAACTCTTACTGAAATTCTCCACAGGTTTGGGTGTCCTTGTGTCCACAGGGGGAGAGGAAAATGGGAAGTTATTGCCTAATAAGTACAGAATCTCAGTTGGGGAAGATGAAAAAGTTCTAGAAGTGAATGGCAGTAATGGTTGCGAAGCACTGGAAGTGTGCTTATGGCCACTGACTTATACACTTAAAGATGGTTAAAATAATAATTTTTGTTATATTTTGCCACAATAAAAATTGTTCTTAATTGACCAACATTTGCCTTTTGAATAAGTTTTTAATTATTTAGTTTTTTAAATCCAAAACATTTTAAAATTCTATGTTTAAGAAAGTTCTACCAGAGAGGAAAAAAATCACTTGAACTAATGAAATCTCTGAACAAATTTAATATTTTTTAAATTTTATCAGAAGCTGATGGTAAACAGAGCACGATGAACTGTAAATTTCGGGAAAGCTCAAGTTTTCTCACAACCCTAAATTAAAATGTTAGTTCTGTTAAATAAACTCAAAGAGTCTCAAGGTTTTGCTAGAAATACAAGATAAAAATGTACTGAAGGGTCTTAGGGTTTGCATACCCAAAACAACATTAGGCAATAAATACCCAGTGTTCCAAAGAACAAACAAAGGTTGAAGGTCCTTAGTGTAACGGCACAGAAACTTCATTTCCTGATGAGTTCTTCCCCTCTCTTTCCTTCTGATTATCCAGCACCTTGACTCACCTGCCTGCTTCTCCCTTGCAGGATCACTCAAGTTTGAACAAGGTTCTGATCAGCATCAGATAATCTCAGGAGCAAAGCCTTGTGTCTGTTGACCACAGAGGCAGAGTTTCTGTCAAACTAGAGATGACATCTAGGCCTCAGTGGTGTTTCCGCTCCAGACCCAGAAGAGCAGGAAACCAGATGGAGTGACTCCATGGCTGATACCAGGACAAGATGCACTGATGAACTACCCCATCCCAGCACCATCCAGCCGGTGGAGACCATGACCCTGACCACTACCATGACTCCCTTAGTCACCACGATTCATGATTTTCTTCCCACATGATCCATCCGCTGGAAGCCTTCGGAGCCAGGTCTTTGAGCACTAGCTCACCTGTCTCTGAGCATGAGTTACTTCCTAAAAACACCCTTACTTCCTAAAGATAAACTTTTACTTTCTCTGCTGTAAACACCCGTTCCTGTCTTGTTGGGCTTTGGTGCACACAGGCAACAGCCCCTTTAGTCTGGTAACATTAGAGTAAAAAGTACTGTCGACTAACAAATGTTGAAACCTACAGACATTTTTTTTTCTGAGTTAATTGGAGCCGAACTGACAACATATGCTGGGTAGCAAGAATAAGTTCTGCAGTTTCTTTTATGCATTTGAAATTGTGGAGGAAACATACGGAAGATTACATGAAGGTGAAAGGAAGCAAGGTAAGAATTGGACTACAGCCTAGTTAAGACTATGTGCTCTCATGCTTCAGAAAGAGGGGTCTAAGAGGGGACTTTGCAAAGGTGTGTTAATTTAGATGCACAGAAACAATGGACAGGACGAGCTTAAGGCAAAGATAAGCCTTTGAGTAACTGAAGTTACATACCGGGTGCATGAACACCATGGCCTGCCCAAGTAGAAGTTTATGATCAGATCACCCTGTGAGGTTACTTTCCATAGAAAGCCTTTTCATTCCACAGTCCTTCCTTCCTTCCTTCCTTCCTTCCTTCCTTCCTTCCTTCCTTCCTTCCTTCCCTCCCTCCCTTCCTTCCTTTTTTTCTTTGAAATGCATAACACGTCACGAATTTGCATGTCATCCTTGCACTGGGGACATGTTAATCTCCATATCATTCCAATTTTAGCATATGTGCTGCCGAAGCCAGCACTCCACAGTACGTTCTTGAGAATGAGCCCTGCGTTTTTTGCTTCTGGATTTGTCTGAGACAGAAATCCTCTAGGTGACCAGTGGTCTGGATAATGGGTGTCAGGTAGTCTGGATACTTGAGCAGTCTTTTCTGAAGATAGTAGAGGGCTATGTGGAGGTCTGATGTGTCTCCATGCATTGATTCAAACCACAGATTTAAGTTCCCAGGCTAGTTAAATCAAGAATAGAATTGTTTCTTCATACCTCAACCTACTTGATTTTAGTAATCTAGCAACTTGACCATAGAGACTCCACTTCATTTTTTTACTCTATTCCTCATTTACCAACACTACATTCCACAAATAAAAAAAGATCTTTAAAAATAAATTACACAGAAAGAAAATTCTTTCTCCTTTTAAGTGTTTAAAGCAAGAGAAAGAGAAGTAGGAGCCTTTTGGAATTGTTGCTGGGTGTCGTTTAATTGCCATTTTACAGCTCAGGAGATGGAGGATTAGAACAGTTAAGAATCTTGCCCAAGATCACAGAAATTGGAAGAAGATTGTCCAGACTTTTGGTGTCTCTGGGCCACACCGCAAGAATTGTCTTGAGCCACACACTAAATACATGGTGACACATAATCACAAAAGCATCTCGATGTTTTCAGTAAATTCACGATGTTTGTGTTGGGCCACATTCATAGCTGTCCTGGGCTATAGGTTTGACACCTGTAGTAGACTAAAATCTAAAGGAATCAGACCCCAAATCCTCACTGTTAACAATTTGCTCTTCATAGTCAAATGTATTTCCTGCTTCAGACTATGAATGATTACAAATAAGGAGGTAGGGATGGAGGTTAGGCAATGGTGTTGAGTAATGCCCCAGGTAACCAGAGTAAAGTGCTTGTAGATAGTGGGAGAATCCACACAAAGCCGCCACCTTGAACTTCCTCCAAAAGCAGGCTCTCACTAAAACCCTCCCATGACTGCCGTGGGGGCAAAAAGAAAGTTGTACACAGAGCTGACTGTAACAAACAGAAACAGAAACATCTAAAACAACTAGCATAATGCAGATGAAAAGTCTGAGTGTTTCAGTATGAACCTTGAATGGTTGTAGCCTGAGCATTTTACACAGTTTCTATATTTAGCCACATACCAGGAAGTTCCCAGCCTGGCATGAGTCTATGATACAACTAGGCAAGGACTGGTAAGAGAGTTTCGAAAACATCAGCAGGTAATTCAGAGGCTGAACAATCAAGAGAAAAGTTGGAGCTGTCTATCTTACTTTCAGCTACAGGTTTTTCTAACACCCTACTGAGAAAGTGATAAGAATTAACACCTTTGTCACCATAACAAATGTCCAGACCTGTAGGGAAATTTTATCAGTGTCTGTTCCTGCCAAACTGATGACAATCGCCAGAAATCCAGATCTCAAAGGCTTCGAAGTGTGGACAGTTACAGTTTATTTCATGCAAGAAGAGAATTTAAGGAAGATTACATGAAGGAGGGAGAAAGCAAGGTGGGGATTGGACTATAGGATAGTTAACAAAACTATAGGCTCCCTTGAAAGCAGTTGCTTCCAGGGAGTCTGAAAAAAAGAGGATTATTCTGGCCTTCCAAAGGTGTGTTTACCTAAATGCACAAGAACAATGGACAGGGCTTGCTGGAGGCAGAGATACACCTTTTACTAAAAAAGTTATATGCCTGGGGTGTGACTACCCACAATGACCTGCCCAGGAAGGGAGTTATACCCTGCTCACCCTGTGGGGTTACATTCCTTAGAACCCCTTTCTATCCACACCTCTGTGGTCATATATGATCTAAATATCTTGGTTCTCAAGTATATCAGGAATAGCATACATATACGTATTGACATTTAGGTAACAGCATATATGTATGTGTTTACACAGGGTAAAACTGTGAGCAAAGGCAGCCACAAATCTCATTTCCCCAGATCTGTTCCTTTTACCCTCTGGGAACTCCAGTTTTCTCATATTCCCCCAGAACTGTTCTAGGAGGATCTAGAGATTGTTTTCCATAAGCGACTTGGTCTACTCCTAGAACCATTTTTTTCTTCTCCTGCTCCAGCTCACTGCAATTATTAAATATGACTGTAGTCACTTCCAATCTGCTGAGCAGCAACTGTGATGTCAGTACATGCAGAAGCTTCTGCCACTGCCATTGAACTGTCAGGGGTGTGCCATGGGGACAATGTCTAATGTCGAAGGCAATGCTTCCTTTGTCTGATCTCTACACCAGAGGACCTGGGTTCAAGCTCCAACTTTGCCTTTCATTATGTATATTAATATTGACATATACTTGAGTATTTATAAGGTGGGAATTTTAATAGCCCTTACCGGACAGAATTGTGGTAATGACTTAGTTAATGCTTATAATGCTTATAATGCTTCATAATGCTTATATTTAGTTAACATTTATCGACTGCTTACTAGTCACTGTCTTAATTTGTTCAGGCTGCTATAACAGAATACCATATCTGGGTGGATTATAAACAACACGAATTTTATTTCTCACAGTTCTCAAGGCTGGGAGTTCCAAGATCAAGGTGCTGGCAGGAGCAACGTCTGATGTGAGCCCTTTTCCTAGTTCACAGAGAAATACCTTTTCACTGTGTCCCCAGGTGACAGAAGGGACCTGGTAGCTCTCTGGGATCTCCTTCATAAATGCATTACTCCCATTCACGAAGGCTCCATGCTCATGATCTAATCTTCTCCCAGAGGGCCCACCTGCTCACACTGTCACAGTGGAGGGTAGGATTTCAACCTGGGGACTCGGAGAGGACACAAGCATTCAGTCTCTAGCATGAGCTAAGCAATGTAATGATATTGCTATTTTTGGTGAGAAGCAAGGTGAAGATGACACTCTCCATTTTCCCCGCAATAAGTTTGCCCATTTCTAACTCAGTCTTTAATTACAGCCCCTCACTTTAGGGCCTAGAATACCATGGATGGCAGACCTATATTCAGAACAGACTTCTGCACAGGCACAGAAGTGACACCCATCTGGGTGAACTGAATATCCAGGAGATTCAATAAGTGATACCTAGTTCATTAATACATAATTCCAGTACAAAAACACTTTTAAAAATAATTATGAGATAGCCCTGGCTGATATAGCTCAGTGGACTGAGCACAAGCTGCGAACCAAAGGGTTGCTAGTTCTATTCTCAGTCAGGGCTCATGCCTGGGTTGCAGGCCAAGTCCTCACCTGGGGGCACACAAGAGGCAACCACACATTATGTTTCTCTCTCTCTTTCTCCCTCCCTTCCCCTCTCTCTAAAAATAAATAAATGAAATATTAAAAAAAAATAAATAGTTCCTTTCCTTTAAAAAATAAAAACTTATGAGATAAGATGGAGGAAAAACACAATTTTCAGAGACTTTAAGGCATTGTTAAGGAAAACCCCAATTGTTATAAACTCCTCTAAAATTTGAGTTGCAAAGGCTACAAAGGCACAGGTAAATTGAAGTAGCTCCTACAGAATGATACCTCACGGATCATATACAACCTACATTAAGAATCTGAGCCCTGGTTGGTGTGGCTTAATGGTTTGAGCATTGGCCTTTAACCTAAAAAGTTTCTGGTTCAAATCCCAGTCAGGGCACATGCTTGGGTTGCAGGCTAGGTCCCCAGTTGGGGGTGTGTGAGAAGCAACTGAATGATGTTCTTCTCTCTCTCTCTTTTCTCCTCCCCTTCCCCTCCCTCTAAAAAATAAATAAAATATTTAAAATAAATAAACTGTCTTTAAAGAATTTCATGAATTTGTCCTAGGAACTCTGCCAAATAGGCATCTTTTCATGTATGCACACATAGGCATATGAACAAAGATGCTTATTACAGCAGTGTTGATGCATGCATTGAAAAGGGGAATTTATCTGCAGAGAGACGGTAACAAAATCAAGGACCTTTTGTTAAAGAAATTAAATTAAATCTTTATGTTCTGATATTAAAAGATTTCCAAAACAAGAAAGTATCTTTAGTATGTTCCCATTTATGTGTATTTGTCAATGTTTTAAAAAATAAATATATGTTTGAATTTATATACATAAAGCAATTCAGGACATGTATACTACACATGATGGATGGTGCGGTCAGTGGCAATAACTTTTCAGATGTTCTGATTGAACACCTCGCTAACTTTGATTTCCACGAAATTGTGAATGGACAAAGGACAAACCAACTGCATCCATAAGGTTTAGCAACCAAAACCATACCCCTAGCCCCTCCCTCCTGATAGTTTACTTGTTTTAAACAATATTTGATATGGCAAAATTACAATGAAACAATTCAAATTATCTCCAGGAGTTTGTGATAAGATTGATTAATGATTATATAATTTTAGGGAGGAAAAAAAGGGCTGTACTTTAAGGTGGCTTCCTTCAACTAAACATGAGTTTGGGTTGTCTTTTCTGGATTTTTACTGACATCTCAGAACTGGTAGGGCCAGGTAGCTACTTAAAAGTATTATGTATTCCCTCTTCATGTTCACAAGAGCTGAGGAAAAAAATCACTCATTTGTGGTGCTTCAGACATGAGAGGATTAAAATTTGCATGATTAATTAATATTCTTCATTATCTCCCTTTTGTTAGTCTCACCAAATCATACTGGGAGGTATTTAGGGCCACATATTATAAAGAATGCAAAAGAACAAAATGTCTCACAATTGTTTTACACTATAAAACGGCTTAAGGAAAACATAAGTGAGTAAATCAACAACTCTTAGATAAAATTAAAGAATGATATTTTGAAGAGAAAGATACTGCACTCCTAAAAGAAAAAATGATAACCAAAACAATATTAATACACAACTAATGAATTAATAATAAATAGTAGAAAGATGTGATAAATGCAGGTAAAAACTACATTACTAAAGAAGATAATAATAATGGAAACAGAATGAAAAAGACAAAGATTGTAGCAATTAGAAAGGGGCTAATAGATATGGAAGATAAAGATAAATAACTAATGTTCTTGAAGAAGAAAAGCAACAAACACAAGAAAAGT